GGCATGTCTGACTTCGGCAGTGATGATGATGCGATTGCCAGCTCCGGAGAGGACCATCCGTCGCAAAGCTGGCATGACCGGGTCACTAATGGAGTTCAGCCCGGCAGCTCAAACCGGAGGCGGATTCCTCCAAGGACTCAATAAAAGTGCCCTGGAGTGCGCTCTTCGGACACAATGTACAGTTGAACCCATGAGTGTTTTGGCGGCTGAATTTTAAATGGACTGGATCGTTATTCCCTCCCCCTCCCCATTTCACGTGAATTTTACAGTGATATCCAACTAGTTAGAATAAAATGCATATTCTGAAGTCATTAATCCAGACGTTAGGATGAATTTATTAGGATCACAGACCATAATTTCGGGCTGAAACTGAAGGAACAATTTTCAGTTTATCCGAGCAAATAAAGAAAGCAATTAAACAGCGTAGTGCAATCTCATTACAAGTGAACTTGTTGACAAAGGTCTTCTGTACTCTTTCCACGCGTAATGAGCAAACACACTTCAATAATTGATGGCGTTCTGATGATGGGATCATTTGAACTGTTCTCGCTGTAACACCTGGGTAAAATAAACCCCATTAATCTTTATCGTTCAAGTAAGTATCGACATAAACACACTTTTTCTGTGTTATAGCCGACACTGAAAAGCTCATGCCTGCTGTCGAGTTGACCAGGTCATTCCTGCATAATGCATACACCGGTGGCTGTTTTCGCGTTTCGATTTGACTTGGATGTTTCAAAAAGTGACGCGCTAATTTTCTGGCCAAATGAGCTGTTAATCTAACACTCTGAGTTGGTGCCGCAGAGGCTCCCGGGTGAGATGCTCGGCAACCCGGGATACGTAACATCGCCCGTAATTGGCTGGAGAGCGCTGACGTCATTGGGTTGACCCCGCAACCCTCAGTGACGTGCACCACTCAAGTAGAGTTCGTGTAACATGATCTGGCTATAGAGCAAAACTGGTCCCAAACAAAGCATGTCAGATTCTCGCCGCGCGGATCCGTACGCATGGGGATGATTTTCATTAGATTTACTTCGATCTGGCAGGAAAGCGGGTAAAAGATACAGGGGATGAAGGACGGATCCCATGGCAAGAGCCTTGAGGGTCTTTTCAATCCGAAGAAAACCTCCCCACAGTCCATCGGGCAGTCAACCGCTTGGAATAATTACGCTCGGTAGTGTTTCCCACTGTGCGTTCGAATAATACAGCGTCTTTTGTTGAGTTCTATGGATGCTTCATGGAAATAAGCCCATGAACTCAAGTGCTGTCGAACATCTGAAATGACTGTCCAACCCAAACCGGACGTTTATTTGAGCAAATCGATTTGAAAGATACACAATTTAAATAGTATTGCTGACCGCTTATTGAAAGTGTAAAACAAGAACAACCATAGCTGGGAAAACATTGTGAATGGCGATTGATTTTAGTGCAGGTTACTAACAGTTTGCATGAGTTGATTCTTGGAATGTACAAGTCGGAATGTCAACACTATTACCTTGAGTGGCATAACGCAAAATATTAAGAATGTGCAAGGTGTTATCAAGTAATTATTACCACAAAGAAAACTACAGGATAAACACAGAAATAAAAAGCACATTCTTTGTTTTACACATCGTTAACATATGCGGATATCATAGGCAGTACATCAGTAGGACTCCCTTCCCACTGAAAATCTATGAGGTAGATCATCACACAAACGTGCATATTTTACTTCTGCTTTCGCTGGAATTTTATATAGGCCTGACCGAAGATTCAACTATTCCATGGCTGGAAAGTCGAACATTCGAGTATGCAATTATTCGAATGGACTCAGCGGTACAAGGATTACAGACTGTGCAAGGAATGGGGGGGGGGGGTATGTACACGGAACCTGTACCACTGCACTTTAATACTACATATGTTTTTATTGCCTCGGGATCCTAGATCTCGCGATTACAACCAGGCCGTCGGCCCTTAATCCAATAATCTAAACAGTTCTGACCGATCGGGATTTGGCCACAGGGTAAAAGACTTTCCTGGGTGAGAAAGTACGGGGAGATTGAGAACAGCGGCCCCAGCCCATCGTGGGGCTTTCAGTGAATTCATAAAACGTGGCGCACAATGCCTTACTGGATGGACGTAATGGGTCAATACAATTCCCCCTCTGTGAACGGGCCTTATGGGAAATGCCACTGGAAAACTCCCCCTATCAAAACACGAGTGCCATCGATTGCTGGCTTGGTAAACACCAATCTCGGATATTAAAGCTGTGACCGTCTTCCTGGTTTTAATTCTTCACCGGTATACCCCCCGCAACGGACGGGTATTTACTTCTTTTCTCTTCTTTTAATTAAGACAGCGAACCTCTTCGTAGCATCAATCAGATGTTCCTCAGAAGCGGACGCGACCAACTTTTTTACTACGCGTCACAGGCAACACAACGCTGTGCGCATGCGCGTCAGTGTTTGCTGCCACCAAGCGTCTAGAAGAACCACATGACTGACTAGACGAGCCTTGCTCGCAACCCAACCCGTCGTCCTTACATGCAGTTCACTGGGATGGGCTATTGTTTGTTTTGTTGAGCACTCATTGGATAGAACCCATTTTAACAATAAGGCTATACGTCTTTTAATTTCTGCGTGCGCATGATCCTTGTGCACTGAATGTACATGCATCGATTAGGAGGGCAAGTAACCCACCTTCCATAGTCGGCATTCTGAATTGAAAGCGAGGTTAATTTTTTTTGGGGGGGGCTGACAAAAGAAAGCAATAAATAAAATTTCATCACATATCAATGTCATTTATACCGATGAACCACCCTCCTTGATATAGATCTATTCGCCTGATTATTCAGGACTAAATCCACTTAAAAGTTTACATGCCCAGTTTTATGATGAGCGTTCGGTGATCGGAAAATAACAGTGAGTAATGAAACAATTTCAGCTATCAGCGCACGACCTCCCACATGTAAACAATGCCACTGGAACTCATCACAGATTTGAAATTTTGTTTCGGATAGGATGGACGCTAGTGGACATGCTGTTGCAAAGTAATGTCACTTTCTATCCCCGGGAAAACCGATGGTCATTCGACTTTTTTGATTATTTTGATAAATGTGAAAGGTCATGTTGTCATTTCGGGGACGTCTATCGAAGACGGAGAAAATCGATTCCTCCTCCCTGCTTTTTTTCTTCAAGAGACAGGAGCGAGGTCCCCGAAGATCGGACAGGCAGAGGACCCACAGACCGCTTCAGTCACGTTTTGCGAATTGACATTTCTGAGGCCTCTCTGCTTGCTTAAGATTATTGGTGTTATTTCGAAGGCAGAGTGGGAAGAATCCACTGGGACATGACTTGGTGTAATATTTCAAGTTGGAACACACACCGACACCCCCTGAGAAAAGCCCCTGATTCAAACAGATATCAATATACCTGAAAGTTGTCACCTAATTTCTATCACTCTCAAAGGGAATGCATTTGAAAGTTCCAGACATAAATACCTTCATCCACAGGACAGATTCATGTAATGGTTGTCTGTGGCAGGTTGTTGTGGTAAGGCCTGACTTATTGTGCGTTATTGTGCAGTGAGTTCAAAACCACCAGAAACTGTAGTACGCAAAAACAAAAGTATACGATCGTCCTCAACAGACTGACTTCCATCGATATGAAGGCACTGATAAATCTTAAATGGGGTAGCATTTCGAAGTGTAGGGACGAATTTAAAAAATCCAGACAAAATCCAGAATGCGGATTCCTCACAGAAGGCTTTACCATTTTAATACAGCAAGCTTAGATGCTACTCTCCATATCAAAGTAGTTCACGTCAGTGTAATGGTAACCTCGAAATGAACCTGTCACGTTACATGGATACTAAATTACTATGCTGATGAAGCGGCTGCTCTGTTCATTCATTACTTCTCATGCCGGCACCACACGTTTGTGATGATTTTCTTGGCATCCATTGTCAATTAAACTGCAGCTGTTGTTTGTGATTTGCATATCGACTTCTGGTAGACAGCATTTGCCCAATGGGCACGTGAAGGTTCACTGTGCGCTGCATGAAATTTGGTGTGTGTGGCAGCCAAAGTTATTTACAAGAAATAAGTTTAGACAAACTCTGACCTTTACAAAGTGTGCTCGAAAATTAAGTAGAAAAGGCTGCATGATCGTATCCCGACAGTCCAATTAAGTCGTTGGAACCCCCTTGCTCAGTGTCGCATAGCTTCATCCTAAATGAACTTGCACATTGTTGTAGCAAATTCTTTTGCAAAACAAAACTGGCAAGTTTCAAAACTGTCAAGGCAATTATCAATATCAGTCACATCATGTTTCACTTCAAAGGCCAAACATGAAAGTCACAGAGATAAGCAATCGGTTTAAAGTAAAAATGCGCTAAAATAAGATTTTCAACTCGGGTTGTGATTTTGTCTGTAACAATTAGTGACAGAGAAATGCACGTGCTAACAAAATACAAAGTAATTTACCACCAAATTAACTGTTGTATATTTGTGTTAGAAAAATAAAACATCGAAAAGTTCATGTTATACTTTCAACCCGCTGACAAATAATTTGTCTTGTTAATTTCACTAATCCAATCACAAATCCATGGTGCCAACCCAAGTTTCGTGATCGCAGTGACTGGTACATCTTGCATCAGAAAAAAAAATAAGTCCAATCTGTTATGGCAAAACGATATACTATGTTTCATCGGCTATTGTATCAATAACATTGTCAATATCATTGATTCTTTTCAGTAAAAAGAAAAAGACCTCAGTGAAATTTCATCAAGCCTTTTCAGTGGTTTATCAGCGAGTGACTATTTACATGTAAAAATTCCATACATGAATCGGGAAACAGCAATATCATCGCTGCAACACAAAGCATAATTCCAGCCAGCCTTACGTCAGCTTCGTAGGAATAGCTTTATCACCAAAGAAATCTGGGCGAAACGATAGCAACGTCAGTGGACGAGTACTATCAGCTCTGGATGGAGCGACAATGTGGCTAATGCAGTCTACCTACCTTCAACTGCGTCCATTCCCCTGTCGACGCGAGTTGGCCTGTTTTACTGTGTGCTGACGGTTCTGACGGAGAGAGGGGAAAAACATCAACGGAAGCTGTCAACGCTCGCGTGCGTATCTCCCGAATCCCCAGAGAAAATTACTCAGCCAAGCAGCAAGGACAATAAATGCTGGGATTTTGATGACTGAGGTACGACGGTCCGAACTGTCTATCTCATTGTTGCTATGGCGCAGAATGAAGCAACGGTTCAACTCAAGTTCCGTTGAGAGATCCTCCAGCGCTCCCAAGCAAATAAGCAATATAGTAGCCTGGCAATGTGTGCGACATTGTAATAAAACAATGCGTTGCAGAAAAATAAACACTTATTCTTCCAATTTGTGGAACATCTATCACAACTACCTTATGGACGACTATAAGCGTTGGTAACAACAGACTAATTGAAACGAAAAGAATGTATTTTTTTCATCAAAATCAAAGCTTTGAAATTATGCTCAAGCACTGCATCCAAAAATTCATCGATAATTTTATCTCAGAACTTGGCACGAACGTAGACAATCACTTTTGAGTTGAATTAGCGATATTCGGGTGTGCCTGTTAAATTGTAAAGGTCAAATATTAAGTTAAAACTTGAACTGCCTAAATATAACCACGTCTGGAGTCTGTTTTCTTCACTGAGACATCTTTCATATAAGCCAGTGCTTTAAAACGACTTTCTCCAACTTCAACCACTGACATCTGAGTTGATAAAAATCTATCTTCCCCGGGCCTATTGCTGAGGTCCAAAAGGTCACTCCAGCGCTGCATAAGACGTATCAGCTTTTGTCTCAAAGATCGACGAGAAATGGGGGAGAGTGACTTCACAACGGAAGTTGAACAATATTATGAAATCGACTTTCAGTCTGATCAATGAACCACCTGCATGCGCATAAATATTTCAAATTAATATGCGCGCTAATCTGTAAAGAGGTGTTCATCTAGTCTTCATCTGATTTGGCTTGGCCGATCTACTCAATAACCGACTCCAACTTGAACAAAGGCACGGATAACATATCTTACTGTACAGCGTGCTGTACAACCCACTAGGTAGTACGGGGCTCTTCTACAAGAATTCGGCCTAAAATAAAAGCGCTGTAGCGTGAAAGAATGACATTGTTAGAATCCAAGTCTTTCCGCAATGGGTCTCTACGGATATCAAACACGTCCATTAATGTATTATTTTGTCTCGGTAAATCGGGCCGCGTACAATATCACAGCACCTGAATCAATACACCAGCTGCTGCACGTGACCTGCAGAATAAAAGCATAATGAGGCAAAACATACACAGGGTAACCTGTAACCATGGGTAGCGAATGTCTTCACCATCTCCAGCGAATTCTTGACAACTTACGGTGAATGAAGTTGAGGAGAATGATGTGCAGGATAGGACGAGAGATATGCAATGGCCCTCGAAATACCACGGCTGCTGATGCACACTCAATCCAATCATAATATTCCATAACGCACTCACAGAGCTAAGACCCATTAACACAGCTGGGTCGAAATTAAGGTGGGCATCAGTTCCAGAGAAAATTAAGGCAGATACACCCGAGCGATGAAAAAAAATAACATCATGAGATAACACGTCTTGCGAAATTCTTTAGCCCGTGTTTGCCACGAGGATTCTAGTTGCCTTGAAGGCTTCAAATAATGAATAGTACGAAATTTCGTCTGAGTTTTAGACTCAGTTTGTTTAATTTACAGTTAGAAACATCTGCAGCAGACAATACTAGGTGATAACAGCTTCGATCAAAGGATGGGGCTAACAATGGAAAATAAAAGTATTCCCCCATGGTTTAACGCTGAATTGCTTGCCGCTACTGGTCAGTGTTTGTGCGCGAGAAATACAACCAATAACAGCCCGTTACAGATGCGTAGCCCCAGACTCCTCAACTCCTTTTCCAGATCGAGGTGTAATTTGACAGGGTTTGCACTGACCTACATATTGATGAATGGTCTTGGAAGGGGCCGTGTTTAACGAGCGGCCTGTCATAAGAACTCTCCCTCGCCAAATCTCATGCTAATCACACGTTAAAGGGGCAGGCGACTGGTTTGAGAATGGATTTCCAAGGACATCGCCTCGGTTTTCCTGTCATAAGAACTCTCCCTCGCCAAATCTCATGCTAATCACATGTTAAAGGGGCAGGCGACGAGTTTGAGAATGGATTTCCAAGGACATCACCTCGGGCACTTTGCATCGCTCGGTATGATTAAACGTCATATCCCATGCCACCACAGCAGCCACAGCTTATCTCTGCCTTGACTATGTGTTTTTCACTTGTTTTTCTAAGGAAACTTTAGGACAAAACAAAGGAATCTTTGAACAGTCATTTGAATACAGCATAATCCGTGCACAATCTATTATAAACTACAGGGGCGCGCATGGGCCGGCTGAAGTAATGTCTGTAATGGTGTGACTTGCGTTTTATCGCTTATCACGTAATCATTCTGGGCCAAAGAAAAAAAGAAAAAAAAACCCCAAAAAACAACAAAACAAAACAAAACAAAACAAAAAACAACAACATTCAACACAATGGTATGACAAAAAATCCCTTCTTTTACAAAACATATACTGCGCGGCTATTTCATGTCTTTGTTCACTTACCGGGGAAACATATAACTCTCTCAGGCTCTCGCAGTTATTTAAGTTGCTGGTTCCTCTCGATGTCTATTGTCTACAATAGAAAATTCCACCGGTTGTTCAGCTGCGATTACATAATTAACAGATAAGGGCGACACGTTGAGATAAGTATGTCTGCTGCCACCAATCGCCCCGAAGGGCAATAACCCTTATGTATCCGTAGTCGAGGTCAACCGCCGTCTTGTATTTATGTGAGGTATGCACTGTTCTGCCATAAGAAACATATGAATGCATCACATTCAACTCGTGATGATGCCTCGCCAAATATCCTATGGCCTCGCCTTCCTTACCAGTGAACAAAAATAGGCCAGGTTGACTGCCTTTCTCCTTTCTGCATAATAATCCAGATAACAGTGGAGCCGTTCGTCAACTGCGAGATGTCGACCAACTGTGGCAGCCCAAAGGGAAGCCATCGCATAGTAATAGAGCGTCCTCTGCGGTTCATGCATGGACCCATTCCGAAGGATGCAAATACCGTCATAGCAGCACCGGCAACCGTTAATAAAATCACAATCGAGCAATTTACGAACTAGCCAACAGAAAAACGACTTGACAGTAGTTTTCGCGAGCAGATGTTTATGTATCTTGAAAAGCTCATCAGTGGTAATAAATCAGTTGTAACAATATGAGCCCTTTGACCTGTGAAGATTATGTCGTCATAACTTTAATAGAATTCGTTACAATTAGAGTTGTTTGTGCATCTTTTGGCATGTAAACACGAATCTTGTCCATGCAGCATTTTAACATCGAAGAATTACGCGTGACATACTCGTCCGGACAACACGCTTAAAAAACACACAACACACGAAATTATAATTTCTTTTCTCTTACTTTTACACAAAGAACCCCAAACAAAACAAATTACCGAAGAACACGGCTGCCTTACATTATCGCATTAAATTTAGATTTCCCGCTGACAAGTGGATCAAAATTTATCTTCAGAAGTCAGACTTCGGAATGGAAAAACGAAAGTGAAAACTGTATAAGGTATAACTTACAGCAGACTGCCCTCCAAAATCTGCAAATATTAACACGAAATGACTAGTAGCTATTGTTGAAAAATTAAAAAGCCACAATGTGTAATCCCGCAACAGCTGTTCCGAACCATAATTAATTGTGCATTATTAATGTGTCTCGACATATTGAAGTTCACGTTGCTGGTGAGATAAGATAAACATTGCAGATAGGGCAAGATAACTGTACATGACAAGTCCATGTGCCAGCAACACTTTAGAGTAAACACGTCCACTCGTGCGTTGAGAGAGAGGAAAAACAAGCATGGGCCATCGGGCAATTTAGTCAATGGAGAAACCGTTGCAATAGCGATTCATGCACAGAATAGGTGGTTCCAAGCCCACATGCAAAATAATTTGCTAAAGATGATGCGGTCTGTGAGTCAGTGAGGAGGTTTTTTAGACGCCAACATCTCTTCTGAGAGATAATCCGCACTTTTTGTCACCCTAAGATGGCGACACGTGAGACCCACTTTTGCCCCTGGTTACATCTCTTTTTACAGCCAAGCCGGACGCGAGCGTTAAATCTCCCCCTACTGTATCGCATACATCAAGTTGTCAAGTGCGAGAAGATGGTTAAAGAACAACCCGAATCGGAAGAGTGGCAGCTTTGACAACGAGGGAAACAGTGAGGGAAAAACAAGCAAAGACTATAGGATCAGGAAATGATGTGGTCGTCGAGCTATACGGTCAGCAACTTGGCGGGACAGTTTACTGTCACACTTCCGGAACGCTTCAAGCGAGAAGCATCAATTGGATTGAATGCACTGCATTGCGGAGCAACCCTTCAGTAGTATCAGACATGATTTTATGTTGACCTCAATGTCTGACAGGCAATCCACTATTAGTCGCCAGTTTGTACCGATGTCTGGTGGTACAGTTTTGAATAAATACAGCGACACGTGTGATCTCTTCTAAAGCTACATATCCTGAAAAGAGATATAACAGGAAGTCACAAGAAGACAATATAACAAAAACGAGTCAAAAAAGTTGGTCTATACTCAAAATAAAAATCAGCTTTTCCATGCTCACCAAAAATTTATACAAAATTGAAGTGTTTTTTTTAATACTGCATTTGGAATATTGACATTTTAATATTGATTTTATAATAATTTTTAGTAAATGTATTAAATTTCATAACATCTACCTAAAATTTCATTTTCAATATGAATTTTTCAATTATCATTTTAATTATACCGGAAGATTTATATTTAATGTAGGCCTATGGAAATTACTTCAAAGGGGAAAGAGATATAAAATGAACCAATTCGACTGAAAGTCAATACTGTTAGCAGATCCTTTAGCTTTACAAAATAAGGCGAAACCTAGATGGCTGCTTTGCAGATCCGTTCTAGCGAACTTGTGAATCCC